AAATAGTTCACACGCTGTACATGGCGCACCGGAAGTTCCATGTGAACGTAGGAATTAGCATAAAGCTATATTTCGTTGCGTCATTTTCGGGGATGCTAGAAATTGCAGCCACTTGATCGATGCAGTCTCCACGTCACGCCTACTTCCTGTCTTCTCGACGATCGACCTTCTTCTCCAAGAATCTTATATTTATTTTTATTTATTTTCTAGTTGTGCACTAGTAACGGTAATCTGTTCCTTCGATCGATGATCTTCTTAGTAATATACTGTTTGATATTTCATGTAAACTATTTTACATAATTACCGATTCTTTAAACGACACTTTACTTCTAAAAAAAAAAAAAAAAAAACAGGATGATATCCTGCGACTTGAAACATTTATACAAAGTATGATTGTTGATACAAAATAATATTGCAATTTCCTGCAATTACAATGGAACGCCGTATGTGAATCATCCTGTAATAAACAGAATATGTTACACAGTTTACTCTAGAAGCACGAACTAACACTATGTAATCCAACTTACGTGGATTATTCTTCACGTATTACTATACAGCTCGCGTTTATAGTTGTTTATAGTATGTACGGTTTACACAGTTTGCTCGGTATAACTAGAACGTTAGTCGTAATCCATTTTGCACAAATCTCCATGTACATGTAGGGTAAAACGTTTTATATATCATTTTGTAAACACGTTACACAATTCACGATGCAATCGCACAACGCTATAGCTCAACGCGCAAAATAACTGCAACTGTAGAGTTGGAGTGGCCAAGGCTTGCATCTACATCTTATAACGATTGTTCTACCCCTTCGAGATTGCAATTAGCGGAGAGTTGCGAGCAAGAGCACTAAAACTACCTAAAACGATAGGAATGATCGATTCGTTTGATGCAACGGCGCATTTCCAGAGATAACTGTACGAATAAATCATGTTTCATTGCTGTTAACATTGAAATGTACAAAAAGTGCAGAAACAGTTTGCACAATTCTAGACAATTCTTCAAAGTTGTAAATATTTTGCATTTGCCAATACCAAAAAATATTTGACGATCTCAATGGTGGCTTATTACGTCGAATAAATGCTATGAATAAAGTAATCCGTGATATTTTGCAAAACAATTAATTATTTTATACAATTGAATGCCAACTATAGACTACTGTACCGTCGTGTCAAACAGATATGAGTCATTCTGTATACAACCAATCAATTCAGTAAATATATAAACTAATTAATCCAGCCAGTGCAATCATAAATGATGAAATTAAAGTTTAAAGAGTAAATAAACACTGTCAATATTTTCGTCGATTTTAGTGCAAATTTGATCTTCATCATAAAATTCTTATGTAAATACGAACGTTGATCAATCATTTCATATTATATATTGTTATTGCATATTAAACAATTTTAAATTTATCAATAAACGCAATCTTACGAAGAAAAATATTTTACTAAATCTGATGAACTTTCCAAAATTTTTCCAAAGTGTACGTATACTTTCACTATGAGACTATGCAACGTTCTTCTCGTTTTGCCTCCCTACTTTTCCAATAAGGAACTCCTCCTTTTGATCATTTCGATGTTAATTTGCAATTATTGCGTGTCCTCGACGTGAATTGCAATCGCACGCCTAAACTCACGCACAACGTAACTGGCAAAACCGTATCACCGATAATGAAACGTTCGAGCGGCGTTGCAGGTCGAAGCGGACGGAATTTGCATAAGGAGCTGCATGCCGTGTTTTATCGCCGTGGATCTGTCTCGGCCGCAATACGTCTTTACGCGACGCGTCGCGTACGATCTAGCCTTGCCCGAAACATACCCGTGAAAGATCGATCGTCACCAGAAAATGCATAATGCATTATCCGTCAGTTCGCTGGATAATAAACGGTTTGCAGAATGCATAGCCGTGTGATCTGTTGCACGAAAACACGCGGTAACCTTTCGCAAAGATACTAAAATTGACTCGTTGACGGACATTTTCAGTAATTATGTTCCTTTCCTCTTGTTATTATTTGACAATTGCTAATAGGACAACGAACGATAGAGATTCCTTGGTATTTTCTGGAAATATTTTTGTAGGGTTTGGTAGATTGATTTGAGTTTTATTATTTTTTTTTTTTTTTTTTTTTTTTTTTTTTATTTTTTTTTTTTTTTTTTTTTTTATTATCGCGAATAGGTTGATGCAAATATTACTTATATTTTGAGGTATTCTCACTTATTATATTATTGTATTACTTTATTTTTTTATTTTATTATATTATTGTATTACTTTATTTTTTTTTATTTTATTATATTATTTATTATATTATTGTATTACTTGTGTTTTGATATTCTTGGAGGATTCTCAAGAATTTTTTCGTACCTTATAGTACATCTCTGTAATTACATTTCCACGTGAGTACGATTCACAGTCTGTGAGAAACGAATATTGAGAAAAAGAAGGTTACAAGAAAGTTTCGTAATTACGAAGAGGTCGATTTAGAGATTCTTGAAATGAAATATTTCCAAAGGAGAATCTTTGAAGAATTTAATTGATTAATCTTCTATTCTTTGAAATTTTCAGTTTTATCCTTCTCGACGATCCCACTGGAATTGATTCAAAAATTCTTAAGATCAAACATCTTCAGTTTGAGCTTCTTCGTACGTCTTCCTAGAGAGATTTTTGAAATTTTTAAAACAAACATTTACACATTGGTTATCAATAATTTAAGTAAATTGATTCAGGGATATTTCGGGCATTTTTCAATTTATCTTTCTGTTAGTTAGAGTTAGTTTAATCTCTGCGAGATTTAACTTAATTGAACGTCATAAAACGACGATCTTATGATCAAATAGACTGCAACAAATTCAATACGAGTTTCAATTTCTCGTTTCTGAATTGTACATTTCCCTTATAGACCGTTGTTCAATGAATATGCAAAGCGGTTGATACGTTTACGCCACCATTATGAAAAGGAGGCTACGCAGTGTTTTCTTATCGTAATAGAAATCCAACTTTCCTTTAGATCCACAATTTACTGGAGCAAGGAATTCTCGTCACTGTTTGTCGAGCTTTAATCAGCCGGTTAGTTCTAATCAATACAAGCGGCTAACGTTTCCCCTCTATTCGAGGGAAGGAAACGTAGTAGTCCTGGCGACCAAGGATCGCGGTAATTAGATTTGTCCAGAGATTACTTCGTTATTATACGAATTCTATCGATCAAAGCATTTCATCAATCATTCAATTATACATTGTGCCTCATAAATATAAACTACTAAAGTACAAATATACAACTACAAAATCTATGAAAGTTATTATTAGAATTTTATACAATTGTAACCGAATTCAATTTTCACGTGTAGTAATCACACGTATTCTATTACACATATTGCCTTCTACGTATTTTTCTTTTTTCTAGTGGATGTGTATAATAATCTTTCTTTTCGAAGAAAGAAAGGATGAATTGCGTTTTATTTTATTTATACATAAATGTATAGTTGAATAAAATTTGAATTCTTGGGTGATATTTTATATTCCAGAGAAGATTCTACATACTAATCAAGGTTTGATGAAATTAATGAATTGATAAATGATAAGAAAAAAAGAAGTTAAAATTGATAAAAATTTTATTTTCCTTTACTGATTAAAATTTTTTCTAGATCATGGATCTAGTTCTCTACATTTGTTTTATATTCACATGTTAATTCTGTTGTAGTTTGCATATTAATCAAGTGGAAAGCGTGTTCTGTATAATATATTATCGTGATGAAATATTACTGTTTCCATGAATTCTATACTATGGTTGAGAAAACATACTGCGCTTATCGAATTTGATCGTGAAGCTATCCTACACTAAATCAACAGCATGATATTACTCATCGTAACTTGATCGGTCTTTTTTGACACGTCTATTGGACATTTTAATCACTCAGATACTTCAGAGAAAATTGAATCTTTCTCATCTAACAATACTTCGTTTGTCATAATTTGTTTGTCATATATCTTGATATATCACACTATCAAAAATCGATATAATTTCCAACTAAAAATATAATCTTACAGTAGATTTTGATTTAAGTAAATCTCAAACGCTAATTAGCTTGTAGGAGAAACTAATTAACTTATTCTAAGATCTAACCAAGACCCAATCTAACTTCAAACCTATTTCTTGTTCAATCGAAACTACGGTACTATCGATTGCAATTCAACCTCCTCAACAGACCAACTAATGCCACATAATGCACCCCATAGGATCGATCAATAGACCAATCTTCACACTCGCTACGTTTCGGAGCCTAACTTTCGAGAGCCTTAATCTTCTATTATTCTATGGTGGTTTTATTTTACTATATGACATGAAACATCAGATTCCATATTCTAATATTCTAATCCTCCTGTTTTGTCCAGTTCCATAAGTTCCAGCTCTGAGGAACTTATTTCTGGAATACATATCTCGATTTAATTCAGAAATTCTCTTCCTCATCCCTCACATTTTGACCGGACAATTTTCCAAATTATATCAGTTGGAAGGTAGGGGAGTCTGATGTTCAAGTCCAAGAGATCTGACCTCGACGTAACCTAAAAATACTCGGTCCTCCAACATTCTACGACGCGAACACATTCTCAAAATCTAAATCAATTAAAAGTTACACGACGAATCTTTAGAAATCTTTGTATGCGACAAAAAAAAAAAAAAAAGGAAAGAAAGAAAGTATCGTACTGCGTTTCTCACACGTTCGAATTGACCGATTCTCTCGCCACGGGCCTCCTGCCAGTCAGTGGAAACACGCGAGGCGACATCAGGAAGCTCGACTCACGATCGTGGGCCCTCGTGGCGAAGGATCGTCGAGGTCTGACCTTGCCTGACGCGCGTAATCGTAACAGAAATTCCTCGTCGGGGTTCGTTACGTCCAGATCGGGGCAAGTTCCGATCAATATACGGCGTATCCTCGGCCGGAGAACGCTTGCGCGCCTCGTCAGGCCGATCCGGGTGCCGCGAGCGAGCGAACGCGCACGACGAGGATGACTCGAGTTACGGCAGCCGGCAGAGAGCCACCCTGTCCAACACCGCGTGTCATCCGCAATACGTCGTGTCGTAACGAGTAGTATATCCGAAAATCCACAGTATAACATAATAATCATCTGCTCGATCGTAACGAGGGACTTGAACAGACCGTTTAACCGCGAGACTCAACGACAAGGGATCGTCGGGCGTTTCTTTTTCCGAGCTACCGAGCGGAAAACCGGCCAGTTTCGAAAAAGAAAAAGAAACAAAACACTCTCTTCCTCGATCTAGCTCTCCCTCTGCCTCTGGCGAGAGTCTCGAGGAAGATATAGGGACGACCCGACCACCAGCAGCTGCAGCCACGGTCGCAAATCACGACTTATGCGTCTGTACCGAGCAGGTAAAGATCTTCCAGGCCTTGCTAACGCCTCCGCGCCCGTTCGATACTCGTTTCTGGAAGCTTAGGTTGCCTCGTCGCCTCTCTGCAAGGAGGGATCTTCCTTCTCGATGCTTCTTTCTCGGCATCATTCGAATAACTGGATCATTTCGGTGGTGAAACGTCGAAAGTTCGATATCTTTCGGAACACAAGGTGATTTTCTTGGATTTTTTTTTCTTTTTTTTTTTTTTTTTTTTTTTTTTTTTTTTTTTTTTTTTTTGTTTTCTTGGACTTCACAGATGGACTTCCTCTCCAGTAATCGGCGATCTGAGATTCGGATTCAGTGAGAGACAGTTGAGTTTGATCGTTTAGAGTGTCTTGGCTAGAAGTGACAAAGTTGAATTCGAAGTCCAAAGAGGTCAGGCTTGATTTGGTTTCTTCAGAGGCTAAAATTCGCGTTTTCTTGATGCTTTCCAATCAGAGTAGCGATTCTCTGTCAAATGTGAAAAAGTTGAATTCCATAGTTTCATACGTACGGAAGTCAGATTTGATTTGGTGGCATCTGCCACCAAAGAGAGGGTAAAGTGACTTTTTCAAATTGGAGTTTCAATCTTCTCGTTCGCCTCTGACATAAGGTGCGTTAGAATCGGATTTTGGTGATTTGGAATGCCGGAGAAGGTTGAATCCGACGGATTTTGATAAAAGGGGTTGAATGCATGGCATACTGTGGGTGCTTTGGAACGTGGAGTCGTAATTGCTGTCGTGGCAGCTTTTCGTTCATTGATCCGAGATCTTTTGAGCGGTGCAGCGTGCGTTGACGTGGCCTCTTTGCGCATTGTGTCGTACCGATTCTCGGTCGTACGAACCGGAGAGCAATCAAAGATTGAATTGTGTTCAGTGATCGAGTGGTTACGAGTAAATTTTACTACTTCTTTTCTCACTTTCTCCGAATATATTAACTCGTTTCGTAATCTCTTTAATTTTGTTGATCCTTCGCAAACGATTTCGAGAAATTCTATTCACATGGCGATGCACTGACGATCGTAGCAATCTTTCAATCATTCTCTTTCGTTCTCTGAATTTCGAAGAAATTTTTTGATCAGATTCCTTTAACCCCTTGCGCTGGAATGACGTGCCATCGAGACGTGAGTCGAGAATTTTTTGTCCCAAAATTGCAATATTTCCTCAGTTTAAAGTATATTTAAATATAAAACAAAATAGGCAAATAGTAAATTTATTACTTCTCAATAATTTCTTATCCAGTGATAACATACCGACGAGTTCGAAAAAAGAAAGCGACGAATTATTGTATACGGTTTTGGTCGCTCGTTATGGTCCGCAATCAGTTGCCAGCGCAAGTGGTTGAAATCTTAAAATTTACAGTGAAACTCTCCTAATTACTTGTATAACACTTGTACACATATTTATTACTTTATAATACATGAAAATCTAAAATATCTAATAAAAGAAAAATTACTTTCATGTAAAAAAAAATAAACTGTCACTGTTGTACTCGCTATTTGAGGATAAACCTCTGTCTACCCAGATTCTTCGAAATCATTACGAACCTTCATCCAGCCAATTCGAAATGTGTAATCTCGAAACAGCGAGGCCGCTGCGATTACCGCAGCTAATCACCGTCGTGGTTTCCATTCATCGAAGATCTTCCGGGTCTCTTCTCCACTCGAGTGCCACCTTCTACGAGCCAACGTAACATGCATTGACGTGGCCTCTTTGCGCACTCTGTGACACGATGCAACGTGACCGTGTGGCACCGACTATTTCAATCTCCGTGTTCCACCGCAAGATTCATCTGACGCGATACCGTCAGATTATTCGTCTTATCGAACATCGTCATCCAGAGTGGATTTCATTTTGTCATGGCATTATTGGGAGTGGTTTTCGCGACAGTGACGGAATCCAAGATACTTTGAATCTGCATTTGAATCAAATTCGAATCATTTCGACACGACTTGAAGCTTCAAGCTCTTGACAAAATCTTGAGCTCCGAGAGAGTCTCGATGAATAAAAATATCAAGGAAAATCCAGGAAATTCGAGTTATCGGACACTCGTGCTTTAATTATTGTGTGTGTGTATGTGTGTGTGTGTATGTAATAATTTTAATGATAGCCTTAGTCGTCGTCGTTCAGAAATGGAGTTTAAATGCTACATGTTGATTATAGTTATCACGTAAATGAAAATTGCTACATCTAATGTTTCATTGTCTCTTGGGTTAAAAACAGTGTTGAATTTTGTATTTGAGAAAAGTACAAAAGAATCATTGTCAGTGTGCGTGAAACGCTGTAATAATAGATAACATTTATAGTCAACATTATTTTATATTATTCTACATTATAGATAACATTTATAGTTAACATTGTTCTATACATGATGACAACGTTTTCATTAAAATACATAGTTTGAAAATGTTTCAAAAATATTATATAATATTTTCTTCACAGCGTTATTAACGATTGAATATTCGTTGGAATATTTTATAGTATTCATTTAACTGTTGTGCTCTTCAGTCATTTCCGACCTACATTTCTCTAAAGTTAAAAAGAAACTCTCAAGTTTAAACAAAATATAGAAAAAACTTCTTACTAATAAATATTTTGAAATTAAACTGAGTGTAAGATTGAAATATAAAAATTTAGGGACTGTGGCAGATAGACTAAACGTCGATCAAAATTCTTAGTAATTCTTTCAAAATACAGTCGTCTGTCTTTTCCTGTTTTGCTCCTTTAAAAATCACGAATGCTGAGCTATCGGTGTGAGGATTCGCGATATTTTTATTGACCTCTTTTGATCGAGGTGTCTTTTGGTTCGCCGACTGATAGCCTCGGGAATAAACAATTGCCACTAGGGGTGCGGGCCGAAAGAAGTGGGTGAACGTGACCATCCCTTTGAGCTATTTCTCTCGAGTTAAAATATCTGGCTTCTCTTTATTTGGTCGATTTATCCTGCGTGCATCGCACTTTATTGCACGTGTAAATCCGATTACAATTAAACATTTGCAATCTTTTTGGCTATCCAAATAAAATTATATTATCACAATTCTATACATTTTAGCTATTATCTTCCAAACAAAATTACACCACTTTTTAATTTTACTTTAAATATTTCATATTTGATTTCATTTTTGCGGACTATATGTATTCTTTCCATTCTTATATCTTGAATTTTCTAATAAATTCACTATGCAGGTATAACTCTCCAACGACCGAAATTATACCACCGTAATTTAGCGTTCGTCTGAGCAGAGTGTAATTGGAATAGTTGCGATTCCCCGCGTGCATGCACGAAATTCTCATTCCATATTGAAAGTATATTGGGACGGAGAGAGAAGGTAGTTTAACAGCTCGATTGGCGTATTGATAAACGGTTATTGATACGAAGTATCGCGGTTAGAATTCGAAGCCGTTATTTTATGCCCGCGTGCTGGACACCGGATCGCTTGATATACGTGAGAACCTGAATAATTTAAGGGAGACCGTTGATAAAGTGCACAGAAGCCACATTCAATATCGAGGCACTTAGGATTTTGCTCAGACAACATATTTTTCTTTTTTTTAGATTTTTATCTATCAACAAGTTTCTCCGATCCGATATCAGACCTACCGTGTAAATTTTTCGATAAATATGATGGAAAATTTATTGTATTTATCGTCTTATTTTCTCATCAGTTATACTATATGTGTAGCGAAGAGCGTAGTTGAAAAATTATGAAAAATTCTCGATATTTTAAATTGTTCTTGGTCTCATTTTAAAGCGTAAGGCCTCCTCAGTTTGTTTTCAAAGATGATTTTATTTATGCGAGTAAGCAAAGCGAGAAAATTTTTCAATGCTCTTAATGATGTTTGAATGTTTGTAATCCCCCGGAATAAAAATAAATCCTTTCTTTTCTCTTTCTATGAAATTTCAACAATTTTTCATCGTTAGTGACACAGTTATGCTCTTCAGTGTAAAAAAAATATTTGTTTTCCTTTTTTTAATTGATATTTATGGTGCTTTGTATCAAATATTGGAAAATCGGAACGGAAAATATGAAACATTGAAATCGTGTCTGGAATATTTTTCAATTTTTTGTTACGTATGAATGAAAAATTTGTTATATTTCGTCGTTTTGTATTGTTTGTATTGTTATGCTTTATATTGAATAAGAATAAAAGTTGATGGTATTTTATTTTTATTATTTTTCGTTCATCTATAGTTCGTGTTGATTGCAGAATTTATATAAATATTATCATTGATAAATATCAATTTGAAATTAGAATATATGTAGATTATCACGTTTGGTTTGCAGTTTGTACGAATTTAATACGATTTTGTAGATCAGTCATACAGTTTCCTGGTTATAAATGCATGTGTATACGATTGTAATTACTTGATGTCGAACATTAAAATCATTTAGAACAACGATTATTTATCTTATAAATTATCGATGCACTTGAAGTTGAATTTGTTCATATCGGGTTTTTTTTTATATATTATCAAATTGCAGAGACTGAATTTCATTTTTTACATGTTTATAATTAATATTTAATACAAATATTAGTAATATTATGTTAATAACAATATCACGCGAATTACAATGTAAAAATTACATCAATCTTTTATTTTTATATGATAATTGCAAACTTTGAATAGAAAAAGGTGACGAGATTTTTAATTTGAAGAAATTGTGCTAAACTTCGCAAAATGAATGTTATATCTTGCACGTTAAAGCACTATGTTTCAAAATAGAGGCATGTAATTTTGTTTTCCAGATAAATACAGTTCTTATCTAATTCTTTAAAATCATTTTCTCTACGTTTTTACGTAGTTTATCACTGTAGTTTGTGTATCGTAATCTGCTATGATAATTTTTAGTTTCTCTTCCGTCGTAGCAACTTCCCCACTACAATTTTAGATTTCAATCATCGTTGCAACTTGTTATTTAGAGAGTTGGCATTTTAATTTCACATTTCAACATTGTTGCTCGTCGTGATGACAACGATGCTAAGCTCTGCCACAATCACT